CACACACACACACACACACACACACACACACACACACACACACACACACACACACACAGAATACAAATTTAAATTAAGCTTAAGCTTAAAATCCTAGAAGCACTGAACTGATTTGATTTTGTAATAAAATGGTTACATTTGTACTTCCATGTGGCTCGTTTTCTGTTATTTTTCCATGTATGAAATGCTGATATTATGGCGTTTCCTGAACTTCCTCATTGAACTGGTTTTTATTTATCTATGAATTTATTCATTGGGATAATCTTTTCATTTTCATCAGTGTGGTACTCTGATTTTAAATGCACAGGTGTCATTTTCCCTTGTTGATAACAAGTACATTCAAACAAACTGTGTAAACTGTGTAACCACATGTTTAGGGGACAAAGTGGCCATGAATACAAGAACATGGAGGACAGAAGATTAATGAAATTTTGTGGTGACAGAGACATTAGACTATAACTATTTTTTGTTTGATTTTTTATGCATCATTTATTATGTGTCTCTGTGTGCTGTGATATAACAGATGTGAATACAGCAATCACTGGGTTTTTGTTTGTTTGTTTTGGTTCCTTTAATTTATGCACATGTTAATAAAGTTATTGGGGAAAAGGGGGGGGGGGTTACCGCCTCCCTTCCGTGACGTGTTTCCGGTGTCATGTCAGCGGTCTGCTGGCACCGCATGTTTACACTCTGACGCTCCTGCACGGTTCCAGTCCTCACGTTTTTCAGGGAAACAGTTCGACAGAAACAAACGAAGGTTTGTGGACTTGTTATTTCTGTTGTGTCGCTGAAGGTTCGGGAAACATTGGTCTAGAAACGGCCGTGAACATCGAGGTGTTTAACGCTAGCTGTTAGCATCAGCTCGTCCAGTGTAAAGAGCGAAACCGGTTCAGTTAGCATCCCAGGAAAATGCGCAAATTCACCAGTTTTAACTTCACTCTTAAACCTGCTCAGGTCCTGAGATCTGCTTTAAACCTCTCTGCAGTTACACGGCAGCTTATAAGAGAAGCAGACTGGTTTTATAGGCTAACCGTGCGCGACACGTCTCAATATCGTGGATAAAACGATTCCTTTAAAATATAGTGGATGTTTGAAACATTTGAAAAGTCTTTAGATCAACAGTCAGAAACACAAAGTCAAACTTTTATTTCTGTTGCACGTTTCAAACCGGAGTTGAGTCAAGCTGCTCTCCATCAAATACGTCGATACACCAAGTTTCCAAAAACACAGATAATCAGTGTAATTAATAGGAAATGAGAAAGTTATCACTAATGAAGTAAAATCTGCGAATGAAAACAAGAACTGACTAAGAAAAGCAATAAGAAAATGTTTGCTGTGGACAAAAAGCACAATCAGACTCTTTATGAGGGAGGTGGGATAGTCAGAGCTGAAGGGCAATAATAGGGAAGGTCTCGTCTCCTTTAGGTTTTAGGGAGATAGATGGGTCTGTATATGCATAACACTGCAACTGTTGCACAGAAAGAACAGTAGACAGGACCCTGTAAAACTCACCAGTCACCATACATACAGATGTGTGTTTGTGACTGACCTGCTCCCTGAGTGCCATTTATTTTTCAACCATTACCTGAAAATTTTAATTTATTCTCTCCATCACTCCTCCACCTCTCCTGTGGGTGATTTGTCTTACACCAAGTGAGGAAAAGAAGTAGGACTGGGCGATATGGCCTAAAATTCACATCACAATATTTTTTAGCTGGATGGCGATATACGATATATATCTCGATATTTTTTAAAGCCATTAAATAAGAACAAAAAGAGTTCTTAGTCTAAGCTGTGTCCCAGATGTCACACAGGCACTTTTATTCACATACAGCGCAGATGTACATGAAAAATTACTCAGAAATAAATTATCAGCATTTATTAAATAATAATGCTCCATAAATAAAAGAAAACAGTGTTGTTTTTGTGCATAACAAAAAGCTCACAATTGTGCAGTCAAAATGTAAACTAACAGACGCTGAGCATAGTAACAAAGACACAGATTTCACAGCTGCTCTGTTCCCAACTTCTACTGCGTGACTGACAGCCTGGAGTTTGAAATCCTCTTTGTAACCGTGTCTCTTACAGGTGCCATTTATGGTCCTTATACACACACAATACAGTAATATTACATTGAAGCACAGTACGTATCACTCCGCGAGGCTTCTGACTACGCTAGCCGTAATGCTCCGACAATCCATCAAGCGGTGCAACTTCGTAGCTCAGCAAAGTCGTACTAAAGCATTTTTGACAGATTGCTGAGCGCCGTGTAGCACATAAAATCGGTTCGCGGTCAGTAAGGAGAACTCATACATGTCATACTGTCGATTTTTGAGAAAATGACAGCATTTTAATGTAAGGTTATAGCCCGAAAAATACTGTATACGAGTTCTGTAAGGTGGTTTGTTTCGGGGCGGGACGCAGTTTCACACATTCTTTATTTTGCACTTTATGGCACACATCTCTTATCTCGTATAAAAATATATCGATATATTTAAAAACTCGATATATCGCCCAGTCCTAAAAGGTAGGTAGACATTACATATTATTTCTGATAGGAAGTGTGGGAGAGGGAGTCCTGCAGCGTCACACCATGGATGCTGTGCTGAGAGCATCCAAACATACAGCCATGATCTCAGCCCAGCAGGAAATCAACTAAGAACACACGCTAGGTTTTCTCTGCATACTTAACTGTTTTAAGGGTTTAAGTTACTCAGGTGTAACATGGTTTTTATTTATCAAATGTCCAGAAATACAAAAAAAGAATTGAATGGGTTTGCTTACATTTAACTGTGTCTGTGTGCAGATGGCAGAAGTCGTTCAAGAGAAAAGTCGTGGCTTGAAGTTTGCGGAGCAGCAGCTCCTTCGCCACGGCTGGGAGCACGGTAACATACTTTGAACTTCTTCATTCAGACATTAAAGCGGCGCTCGTGAGGGTCGGCGCTCAGGTGCAGGAGTCTGATCGGCGCTTTCTCTCCTCAGGTAAAGGACTGGGACGAGCTGAAAACGGCATATCGGAGGCCATCAAGGTGAAAGTGAAGTGTGACAAAGGAGGAGTAAGTGCTGTTCGTCTTTATGCAGCAGACGCTTGTGTTGACGCTAAAACAGGTTTAAGCTGAGAGGGCCATTTACATTTCTTCTGCAAGGTTGGCCATAAAGAAGGGGAGCAGTTCACCTTCCACTGGTGGGATCATGTCTTCAATAAAGCCTCCTCCAGCCTGCAGGTGGAGTCTGATCAAGTAGGTCGCTCATTTGTTTTATTTTTTAGGTTTTGCTCGTACTTATTTATTTAGCTCGTCCACCTGAGTGCAGCTGTTGTTTCAGTGTGAGAATATTTTCAGGATTTTAGGAGCAGTTTGACGTTTCAGAGCACCGCCTCTGAGGAGTGGATGGAAGCTGCAGCAAGGCCCAGACTCAGTTTAACGTTCACATCAGTTCCATTCAGGCTCCGAGTGGAAGCAGCTGGTTTGTTCACTTACACAGTGTTAACGTGCTTCCTGGTTTTCTGATGCAGAATGGGATTAAGCTGAAGAAGACTGCAGAAGAAGAGGATGGGATGATCTCCAATAAAAAGCCGAGGAAAGCGACCCTGGCTAAAGATAAGCTGTATGGATGCTTTGTCAAGGTAATTGTTTGCGTGTCTTTCAGCTGCATGTCCCTTCTTGTTGTACTTACTGCAGTTCAGTCATCACACTGCTTGCCACTCATTGCTGGTCACTGGCGTTACGCGATGAGTCATGAGAGCGTCTCGTTCAGGAAAATCAAAATCGCTACAAAAACAATGCTGCGGTCCCCAAATCTGACCGAGCAGCAGGTATGTCGTCGCCTCGACCTCCACCTTTGTTGTAGCGTTTGTGTGCGATTGCAGAAACTGAGAGGACATGAAGGAAAGTACAAAGAAATGTAAAAATGTTCGCACCCCAAAAACTGACCGTAACAAAGAGCAGGAACCCGGCTGGCACGGCTTATAAAACACGGGGACACGACCACACAGTAACAGCAAAAGCATAAACAGCGTCACAGACGTCGGCCATTTATGTAGTTCACATCGTAGGCTCTGCAAAGTTTCCCCACAGCGGGCCTTACAGTGGGACATTACGGCACTTTTGTGCATGACTTGGACACTTATTGTGTTTTTAAATGTAGTTTATTTTATTCACACAAACAAACAAACGGCTGGCTCTTCTTTCAGTCTGCCACGCTGCTGTCTGGTCAGGAGCAGCCAGAGCCGAAGGCCTCCAGCTCAGATGACAGCAGCAGCTCCGATGAGGAGGATGAGCAGAGGATGGATCTGTCCAGCACCACCAAGTAAGACTAACATTCACAACATCTGATCTCATCAGCAACTGAGACTTGGAATTGTATTCGGACCTTTTATCTGATAAGTTACATGGTGAGGTTTCTGTCTGACTCTCTGCAGGCTTTCTGACACTGATCTTATGAAGGTTTGTGGAGGACGCACAGCTCACAAGTAAGATGATACGATTTGTAGAATTCAACATGGAAAAAACATCAAAGAACTGTAAAAAAGCATAACCCAGTTTTCTGTGCTTGTTATTTTAGGGGAGCCAGGCACGGCTTGACCATGAGCGCCAAGTTAGCCAGGCTGGAGCAGCAGGAGGCCGAGTTCATGGCCAAGTATGGAAAGAAGAACCAACCAGCAAGTGCTCCTCCTCCAGCCTCCCGTTTAGAGACGCAGGAGGAGATGACAGCAAGCAGAAAAAAGATGAAAATGAATGAGAAGAGTAGTGATGGAGTGTGTGAAACTCCCACAACAGATGTTCAACCTAAAAAGAAGAAGAAGAAGAAGGAAAAGAAGAGCGCTGATCCCGAGGAAAGAACTGATGAGGATTTGATCCATGTAGAAAACTGTGAGGCAGACGATTCGCACAAGAAGAAGAAGAAGAAGCAAAAGAAGAAGAACAAAGTGGAGGAGAACAGAGTCGAAGAGACGCATTCACCGGCTGCAGAGAGCGAGGAGGTGACTGCTGAGATGCATGCTGACGAGGGCAAGAAGAAGAAGAAATCCTCCAAACCCCCAAAGGAAAATGACAGTGACTGTAAGGAGCCTAGCCAATCAAATCACACAGGACTGGAGGACTCAGACGTCACAGAGTCAGTGAAGAAAAGGAAAAAGTGCAAAAAGGACAAAACATGTACACATGAGGAGGCTCCTCCTCCTCTGAAGAGGAAGAAGAAGAAGTCTAAAGACTAGTGTGTGATTAACTGGGAATCTAATTCCATGTCTGAAGAGGACGTGGTTCCCAGTGTACTCGTCTGTGGTGCTAAACCTGAATCATCAATGTCGACCAGCAAGAATAAACAAGTGAAATTGTGGTTTTAAAAAAACAATCAGCTGAGGTTTCATGTGAGTGCTTCCTGTTTAGCTTTGTTTAGTCGATATTAGAGGAACTCGGTGAGTTACAGTCTAAACGTGGACTGTAAAGGAACTTTGGATGTTTTCGGCAAACTGGAAAACATCTTTAACTACATCCAGCAGGTGAAGCGCATTACAAGCCCGCTGCTGTTTAGACAAGTTGATGATTTTTTTTTTAAAGATTGCTTTTATAACATGAAATGTGCCCTAAATAATCCATCACAACCAGACGTGGCTTTTCTAACCTCAGCGATTGTAGCTGGAGTCAGTTTAGTTGTTCTGGGAGGTAAACATGACGGAGATCCCAGCTGTTTTTACAGTACTGGTGCAGGACGCGGAGTATTGTGACACATGCTGGTTTTATATGCAAATTAAATGATCAGACTCAGCAGATTTTTGTACTTTTGATTCTTTTATTTAAAATTGTCTTTGCGTAAATAAACATTTTAAACAAAGTAAACAAATATACAACATGTTTGTATCTTTTGTAGAGAATATTCATGTGCGTAGATCATTTGCAGAGTTTTAGTCACCTGACAGGTGTGTCAGTGTTGCCTGGGACAAGACGCACACACTTGTGACAGATGTAAACTTTGATGAGATTCTTGTTTCCTGAGCTGTAACGTTGATTAGCTGTAAGCTTTTTTGTGAAGATGATAGAAAATAAAATGGTTCCTACGTTAAAACGCCTAAACAAGGAATTTGTTTCCCTTCTTGAGTAACCACGAGTGATCTCTAAAAACAGATATTACTGCTGAGTATTTCAAATGTTTTTCAGCACCACAAGGTGAGTCACATGTACTCCCACTGTAAATGGCCTGTATTTATATAGCGCTTTACTAGTCCCTGAGGACCCCAAAGCGCTTTACATATCCAGTCATCCACCCATTCACACACTGGTGATGGCAGCTACATTGTAGCCACAGCCACCCTTGGGCGCACTGACGGAGGCGAGGCTGCCGGACACTGTATTTAAGAGAAAGCAGATGTGTCTTCAGTGGATATCTGGAAAACCTGGCAACTCTAACCCAGATGGATAAATAGCACTACAGGCCAGAGGGGGAAAAGATTTTTGGGTGAACTGTTCCTTTAATCAAGATGTGAGAAGAATGCGTCCATGGTAACAACAAAAAACGACCCTTTTGCCTTCAATTCCAACCAAATATCTTTGTTCGAGTCACCAAAGATTAAAAAACTGAATAGTAGAATAAATGTGTCTTTTTATGATCTTTTGGATCATTTTATTAATTAAATATATGTTCGACCTTCATTTACCTGAGTTTCAACATCAGCGTTGGTTGTGATTTAAATTTTTCTTTAAACTGACAGCTCAGTGGGTGTTCAGATGCTGAACACTATCCTCACTTCACTATTAAAAATAACAAAACGGTCGAAAAATCTTGTTGACTCGACTTTTTGTCATTGCTACGGTGGCTCAGAAAAAATCCTTAAAGTGTTACTGTATCTCAAATTTCTTCCTAGATGAATTAAAAAGTTAAAAAGAGAAATATGCCTGCTGAACATGTGAAGTGCAGTGACTGGCTTTCCATCAAAAAGGGCTTTGAAACATCTGCATCATGCTGTCATTTTAAATAGATGATTAACAAAACCCCAAAAGTTGAACTTTCAACTTTTCCTTGAACCTCCGTCACTTTGCAACAGAGACAGATGGAGACAGCGTTGAGGTTGACACGGGATGGAACTTGCAACATGAATTATGTAATCAATACATGCAATGTTGTGCGGTGTAAAAGTACAGTGTTGCATTATTTCTGCCTTTTGGCGACACACACACTGGTCTGCTCAAAGTCTGTTTTCATAAATAGTTGCAGCAGCTGAAAAACTACAAGTTCTCCATCCTCCATTATAAAGATGAGAAACGAATAATGCAGACAGTATCTGGAGCATGGATGGCAACGTGGAAGAGCACACAGAGAACGGCAGCTGAAACTAAGTGGACAAAAGCAGGGCGTCTGTCTCACAGATGAATTTGTTCTGAAAGTCACCTTTCGCTTTGAACCAGCTTTTTGTGGCATTCGTCCCAGGGATGATCAGCACATATGAGACTGAAGTGTCTGACATCTCCTTCATCCAGTAACTAAAAGCAGGACATGAACGTCAGCATGTGTAAAAACATCCCAAATATTTTATTTCTGCATAATTTCTTTCATAATGCATCTTCTTTTACTGAAATCACTTTATCCAATATTATTATTGGCATATAAATCACGATATTATTTTATCATTAATCATTCAGTCATTCCCACCACTGCTGTAACTTTGTTCTGTAGCTGTAAGACAGTTTTCTTACCTCAGCGTGTCATTGTGTCCATCAATCCAGACCCAGTTATTTGCTGTCTTCTGTAACCCAATAAAGTATCCGTGGTCTGTACTATAGTAATATGTTATGTGACTACTGAGAAATTCCTGTGGGTCATATCATTCGTCATTCAGTGACATTTATGAATTATCATCAGTTATGTAAGAAAATATCATGGCTGTAATTGTGTTGTGGTCTTGTTGTTAGAGCTCACCTGCTCTTCGAGATCGTCAACAACAACCAGATCTGCAGCTTTGCCTTGGCAATACTCTCGGCTTTGCTCCCAAGTTTTCCAGGGGGCGTTCTCATTGTAAAACAGGTAGCACTTGTTCTTAAATAGGATCCAGCCACTGCGGCATGGCTGGCACTCTGCAAGGAGATTAGAAACTAGACTCAACGTAGGCTCATTAACAACATTATCCAATTATGTAGCAAAAAAGCCAAAAGATTCACACTGTTTTCTTTTCTACTTTCCATTTTAAAGTAGCTTTGATGAGTCGTTCTCTGGAAACAATGAGAACACAGAGATTCCTTGATTTTGCTAATGAGAAATTCTTAAGCTTCCCTTAAACTTAATGGTCAGATCCTTAGTTTTAGAGAAAGGCAAAAGACGGTGAGGTGCTGGTTTGCTTTATTGTTTTTAGTGTGGCAAATGTGCATCTATGCGTTATCGCATGTTGGGTGAGCCGTTCACTCCTGAGAATTGTAACAAACATGAGGGACATACTGCCAACTGATGCGCAGGGGTTGAAGGTCAGTTCAAAGGAGAACAGATTCCATGTGCGGTAAAGTCAAAATAAATTGTTGTAAATTTTAGATGATATTTGAGGCTCTTTACATAACAGACCTGTTTTGCTGTTCATTTAAATACTGGCTGCTGTGTTTTCCTCGGTTTTGTGACCAGTTCAAATCATCTCTCCCAACCTGCACGCTTACTTGTTTTGTTGTTTTCTATTTAAATTTGTCACATAAATTCTCCGTTCATACTCTCATGACTCTATCATACTGTTGATCATCTTCAGCTCCTAATAAAATTTGACATATGAAGCTTATTAACTTCTGAGACAAGCACAATGAAGCACTCACGTTTATTAGGACAGTAATCTTTTACTGGAAAGTTATCAAACTTCAGGATGACTTCCAGCGTGCAGTTGAGATTGTCTCTCTCTCTTCTCAGCTCCCGAGTTTTATTGTCTGAGATTTCCTTCTCCATGGCCAACTGCTGATGTTCTGCTGTGAGGTTACTGAGGTTTGCTGCCTCTACCTTAAATAGCAAACTCACTGTGAAGGAGAGAAGACAGCACAGCACTCATCATCACAGCCGACCAATGAGGGTTCACATCCAGTCCTAACAGAGAAGCCTTCTCTTCCTGTCTTCATTGTGAGACAAAGCTGAAGACACCAAACACACTAAAACATGAATGTATAATAAAATGTTTTTTTTAACCACCAGTAGAAGGTAATAAATAGTAAAAAGGAAAATCCAGGCACTAGAGGTACAGAAAGCTCGAGTAACAAGTAATAAAATGCAGTTTTGTATTTTAGTGGGAAAGAGATAAAAATAAATGGTTCAGGTTATACGGGGAAAAATTAATCTCTGTTTTTTAAGCCACCTTTATAAACAGCTTTGAAGGTTTTTCCACATACAGTGAATATGTAATGAGTACTTTTAACTAACTGATCCACAAACAACCATTAAATCAAGACAGAAGCTAAGTAGGAATAAATATGTGTTAGAAATTAACAGGGTTTGCACAGGGAGGAGGATGGGGTGGATGGATGGGTTTGATGAATTTCAGGCTACGTCCACAGTAGCCCAGATAGATTTGAAAACGGCCTTTTCATCTGAAAACGCTCCGCGTCCACAATATTGTTTTCAGCCATTTTCATAGAATTGTGCGTCTACATTGAAACGGATGAAAACGCTTAAGTCCCAGCCCTGCGCATGCGCAAAAGCGAATGAGAATTAATGAATTTGAAGAAAAGCAATCTGGAGCATGTACAAACTGATATTCATCTTGTATAGGGCTGTCAAAATTGAGAGCAATCAAAACAACCGCTGTATAATGCCCTCCGCTATCTTTGTTTATTTGGTCACATGACTGCATCACATGACTAAAATACTTCATCGTTTTAGAAAGTCTGCGTTTTTGTGTGTCCACACAGCTCCGTTTTGAAATGTATGCATTTTCGAGAGCGTTTTCAAAACGCTGCGTTTTTCCTTGAGGAAAATGCTGTCTCGGTGTGGACGGGAGGTCAAAACGGAGAGAAAACGATGTGGATGTAGCCTCAACTGGTTATTTCCTTTTGCACATTAACGTGACTGTGACCTCTAAAACTTTAACAGCCTGTGTGGTATTGTAAAAATCAAGGTGATGCTTTTCCAGCCTTACTAAAGAACTTATATATTATATATTATATTAATTAATATTACATTAATTGAAAGCTATCACATTTTTGCAGCTAACCAATCCTTTCTTTTTTCATTGCCACATCACATGATGCCTATAATGCCCTGGAGAATCAAAACAAACCACATATATGGTTTTTTAGGCTGGATAGAACCATTACTTCCTTCTTTTACTCTTTAATGTCACTGTCGTTACTCACGCAGCAGGTCGAGCTTTTCATAAAGCTTCACTATGTAACTTCAAGCCTAAAAATCACCCCAAATTAGCCAAGTTTCATTTACTCAGGAATACTACTACTACTAACAATAATTATAATACACCTTTTGTTCATTAAACTTCAGAAATAACATGAGGTTCTGCAGTGTTCTGTAAGGTTATTGTGGACTGCTCAGAAACAATAACTTAACACTTAAATCACACATCAGATCTTCAAGAATAATTCAAAAATCTTTACTGGCATTTATTATGTAATGTGATGTAAAGCAAACTGCATAACAGCTGGCACTGAAAACTCAAAACCATCAAACCTTGGATGGTTTAAAAACACCAAATATCAAAGTAAAATTCTGTTGAGCAGAACCAACACTAAACAGAGAATTAGAAAATCGATGCACAAAATTATTAAATTTTCTTAAAATAAAAATGAAAGCTAGACTTTTGGGAGAACATGAGAACTAAATGTAACAATAAAGTTGAAAATAGGATGAAAACTGTCTTTATTTATTTTTTATTTCTATTTTTTGGTCAAATTTGTGACTCAGCAGCTTTCACGTGGTGTTGTCTTTGTATTGTAATATCTGCCCCTGTTAATTACCCTCCATATTATAATAATTAAGAAAGGTAAACAAACAGTGAAACTAATAAAAAAAACAGCTGAAACGAGCAAACCCACTCTCTGGAAACATGCAAAAATCCAGAACAAAATAAAACTAAAACTAAATAGAGTTTGGTGTGCTGAACTCAGACTTACTGTAGATGATGGCGATGATGCCCACCAGCAGGAGGACACAAAGGATCTCCAAACATGCCAGCAGTAGACGGAAATTGGAGCATGCAGCTGCTTTGCCTTCTGCTTCTAATGAGAAATTTGACGTCATTATTATGAGAAACTGTCACATGGACTTTTACTGTTGTGTGATGCTGCAGCTCATTCCTTTGCTCGTGTGTTGTCTGTTTTCTTAGGCTCTGTTGTGTTAGCCTCTCAGGACCACTGAGGCACCAGATGTTCATGTCAGATGTTGTCAGAGACATACAGGTAGTGAATACATTTGTTCCACTGATGGTCTAAAACATTTTGCTGCTAAGTTAGTGAAGATGAAAAAGGGATTTTATAACTTACCAGGTGCAGGAGGAGGACCAGCAGGCGCTTTAGATTTAACTTCAGAATAAATGGCCGGGTCCTCGTTTTTTTCTGGAAGACAGAAATAACTAAACGAATGGACTCATAGAGATGAGTTTGACAACAACACAACCCACAGAATTACAAAATGCGCAGTCATGTGTCATTAAAGCATATCATTGATCTCTTAGGTCGCTCTATGTTCCCCTTTTCTTTCCTTCTCCTTCCCCTCACACACCACACTCCGCAAAATCACCACTGTTAAATTAACACAGTGAGTTTTAAACCTGACACTAGAAAAGTGTTTATATGCGTTGACTCCTTTAACTGTTAAATGAACACTTTTGAAAGTGAACTGCTTGTCCACCACTACTATGTTCGTTAGGTTAGCCTCCACTGGTTTGTAGTCTCACTGGATCTGTTCCAACATAACACAGTATTTTATTCTATGTTATTTTATTCTATTCCATTGTTTTTCTTAATTATTCCTGCTTGTAACTTTGCACTGTTCACTTCCTGCCGTGACCCAACAAATTTCCCATGTGAGGACTAAAAAAGATTTATCTTATCTCTTATACTGTGCCGACCACTGGGTTATGGCGTTCCATGTATGTCCCGCCTGCTAGCATCTTGCACCCTGCAGTTATGTGCTGGATTGTCTGAGGGGCATCTTTACACAGGCTGCACCTGGGATGTTGCCTGGTGTGACAGACCCCAGCCTCTATGGATTTTGTACTACTCAAGACTTGCCTTAGTCTCTGCAGGTGGTTGCAGTATTTTTGCATTACTTGTGTTGGTCTGTTTTCTCAGGCTGTGTCATTGTCAAATACAGAAAGTTTAAAGCATGAATTTGCTTTGTTGCTCATGTAATATCTGCATGAACGTTATAACTTACCAGGTGCAGGAGGAGGACCAGCAGGCGCTTTAGATTTAACTTCAGAATAAATGGTTGAGTCCTGGATTTTTTCTAGAAGACACAAATGACTGAATGCAGGGATTCATACCAACAAGTCTGACATGTGTGCCATGTGCTAGTTTTCAAACTAGCTTTATCACATCATTTATGATAAAGCCAAACAATGTGATAAACTCAAAAAGATAAGTCTGAGCTCATGACTTGGCGTATAAAATAGAAATGTTGTGCTTTCTAGTGATTTGAATGTCTCCGAATTTTATTGATAAATAATCTTTTTGTTGTTTTTAAATAAAAACGGGATGATATGATGTGAACAGAGCAGCGTTCTTTCATCAGGCAACTTCTCAAAGATATAAACAGTCAGACTTATCAGTGATTCATTTTTGAATGAAGGAGGAGAGTAACTTACCTTTTGTTAGTGAAGCACCAGTTTTGAAAACCATTGTGGAATAATTGACTTCTTCCTCCATCATTAAAAGCCAAATTGCCTTCAGCGCAAAGAAAACTAAAACTGGCCTCAACAGGAGCGGACTGTTAAAAGAATGTTACTGACACCCCACCCACATGCCCACACACGCACCATAAAACAATATGAAATTCCAGCTGTAACTGGCAAAGAACAAACCCGCGGTTCCTCTTCCTATAACTCCTCAACGTGTTCATACACATGCCTGATCTCGGAATTATGTTGCTTCTGTAACACACCGTTACGCTAAGAGCAGTTAACACATTTGGGCTTTAACCCAACAAACCAACCTGTCACATATCTGTCTGGTGCAACGTCCGCATTGTTTCTTAACTGATGATCGATGTCGTTGTGAGACATCGTGTTAGGTGAAAACGTTGTGATGAAAAATGTCTGTCACAGTACGAAAAAGGAAGAGGCGAGTGATCGCAATTTTTGCAACTCGTCTGGCCCAAGGAGCAGTGAGACTCTGCAGTGGTGAGGTGTCTGTCATCACTGCACCTCATAAAGAAAAATTAATCAAACCTTCACACAGTAATCATGGATCAGCCAAACCGTTGTCCTGATGTAATGAACAATATTCAATTCACACTATTTAGCAAATTTATTGACTTAACATTCCTCAAAATGATGACAAAAGAACTCCATTAAACACTAAATGATGTGATAACTTTGCCACTTGTATCCTGTTAGACAGGGAGGATCCTGTGGGTCATAACCGTGGAGAGAGTGGTGGTGTTGAACACAAACACTTTTATTTGGTGATGTATTTGATGAATTTGTCCCGGAAGTTACTGCGAGCCCCTTTTAATTCTCAGTGGACTTTAATTCTCATTTGTCTGTGCAGTTTACCCCAGTTTACACGTTCTTTCTGCACTTCACACGCTGCAATAACCGGAGATGTGATGAACTACTACATCATTTATATTCTGGTTATTTATTTATATTGCACTTTTTAAAGTCAATAAACAAGAACAATAAAAGCATAAGAAATTGTAGCAAATTATTATGAATGGAAACAAAAACTTGATGGGAAAAAAGAATTTGACCAGAACTGTAAAACAGACAAAAAACCAAAATGTGTAAAAACTGTAAACTGGTCACAGACAGATTTCCATTCAACGATTAGTTTTATTAAATGCATCAAAATACTGCGACAGGCACAGCTCAGTGGAGGCGAGGCCGAGCACACAGCTGTTGCTCCAGCTGCCTGTGTTCTTACGTATCAGCCTTACGAGTGTCCAGATGAATGAGTAAATAAAAGAATCACAGTTTTTATGAAGGTGGGCGCTGTCCACACCGGCCAAACCACTTTAAGCTGGAAACACTTTTTTTCATAATAACATTGAACATTTTAACACGAGAGTCTCTTGTAGGATAAGCCAGTTAATTTCTTACTGGCTTATCCTACAAGATTTAGTTTTAGACAATAGGCACAACACACACACACACACACGCACGCGTATTATTATTATTGTTCAGATTCTTGGTTTCTGTTACTATAAAAGGAATAAAGATGCTTACAAGTTACGTCCAATGAGCATGAACAGACTGTCACTTCCTCAAGTGGAAAGGGAAGTTTCACAAACATGTGGTATTAATAAATAGTAACATAAACACATTCGTGCCTGTCTCTGCATTTACATGCATCGGAATATGTTTCTTTTGCCATCTAATACATTAGAAATCCCATAGTAATGACAAAAGAGCACATATGATTACAAAAAAGTATAAATGCTTTTGCAGTGCAGCTCAAACGTGATGTGTGATTCTGCAGCATTTGTTTCAAAATGTAACTGAACATAAACCAAAACAAAGAAATTACTTATTTTTTACAAAATCAGTTTGACACAGAATGAAACTCATTGCCTTTAATTCAAAAAACACAAGGAGTTACTGTCACATTAAATAACAATTCTATTACTGGGACTGATTCCTAATCTGCTTTAATTAACGCTCGTCTTTCACAGATCCAACAGTTTCTCATGTCACAGCTCTCTTTGCCCCAGTTGGCCAGAGGGGGCGCTTTTGGTAAGCTTAAAGCACAATTTCTTCTGTTGACATCTTGTTGCATTTTCCAGTACCTAAAAAAAGTCACATAGTATCAGTCTGTATGCCTACTCAACATTTCAACCTTTGACAAAATAATCTTTATTGTATTTCTGAAATTCAGCACGTGGAGTGCTTGGGTACCAAAAATAAGTCAATGATCTGTGTCAGTCTCTGCACACACAGCATTCCTGATGGTAACAGGGATCGAGGCAATTTAACCAACACAGAGGCCATAAATGCACACTTGTGTTTGGTCTCGCAAAAGTCAGACACTTAGATGCTCTGAAAACCACAACCGAGTCCATCAAGGATGTGGAAGCTTAAGAAAAATGTCAAAGGTCAAAAATCATCTTTGAGAAACAAGCAATGGATGCAGTGAAGAGTTTTTAACAGCTTTTATTTTTTTTCACTCTGCTACAAATAAGTTTGTTGTTTATTAGGACTTGTGTGTTCTCAGTGGTGGGAGCTGAGAACACACAAGTCACACAACAGTGTTAGCCAGGGTTTTCCTTACTTGGATGCATGCAAGACGTCTTTTTATGTTGAATGAAAACACTTTGTGTTTTTTCATTTCACAAATGAAAAGAGAAAATGCAAACAGAAAACAAGTCTGCCATCAACATGTGCTGATTCGACTTAATCGTCACTTCCTTGAGCTATTCCAGCCTAAAGGTTGTTTTAACTCAAAATGATTTGGAATTGGTTCATACTGTAAACTTATTGTGGCTGTAAATCTTAAACTTCTTGTTATTAGAAGAGGGAATGTTGAAACAATTTTTTTGTTCTGCTTTTTACTTCCATGCCATATTTTTTAAAGGGTATTTACAATGTGTTGTAAAAGTGTGTGTGTGTGTGTGTGTGTGTGTGTGTGTGTGTGTGTGTGTGTGTGTGTGTGTGTGTGTGTGTGTGTGTGTGTGTGTGTTTGCACTTATACATCTTTGTGAGGATCAAACTTGGACTGTTACTATACTTGTGGGGACCATCAGTCCTTATGGGCCCAAATTGTAGGCCTCATGAGTTTGAAGGCATTTTTGAGGCTCAAATGTGGTTTCAGTGTCAGGGTTACAGTTAGGTTGTGGTTAGGCATTTGTGATGGTTAGAGTTAGGCTAAGCAGCTAGGGAAAGCATTATGTCAATTAGATGAGCTAAGTAAGATATAATCGGCATATGTATAATAATAGGCATAAGTATATTGCATATGTGTGGTGGGCGGGGGTCATGCTTACGTCACAGTGAGGTTACTTCCATCTACCCACGTCCACGTGTCCTTTGGGCTCTCTGCTCTCAAACCGATCCAGTAGCCGTGCTTATCATCAGCGTGGTAGTCCTTAGTGTGGTTGCTGATAAATTCCTAAATTTGTAATACATGTCGTTAGCTTCATAGCATAAGTGCCTAAGTCATTTTTTTGTGTTTTGTGTTTCAGACGGACAGGATGATGCAGCAGTGGTAGGGGAGTAAAGTTAGGCAAAAATCTCAATTTGACCAAAAAATGACTTAGGCACTTATGCTATGAAGCTAACGATGTGTTATCTGCCACATAATAATAGTCGGGTTTTAGTTTTCCTTTGAGATAAAAAGAACGATGACTCGTCTATAACAGCAAAAAATAAAAACAAACAGGTTTAAAAAAATAACAACCTTTTCCTTTTTTGCACACTATGTTTACATTTTAAATGGATAAAACTGGCTTTTGTTCCCTCAAGAAATCAACACTCAGTACCCATATTAACAAAGTTTACACAACTATCCAGACTGCTGGCTGTAGTTACAGCTGCTGGGTTCCTTGGCTAAGACTCTGTGGGCTTGTTAGACCAGATTGCCTGGGAGGTGTTGCTGAATTACCTTCTTCAGATCTGTCCACAGATGATCTCTCCAAACTGCAAACTCTGATCTGACGCTTAGAGTTTGGAGCTCTTCAAAATGAATTTAAGTTTGTCCAGTCAGATTAAAGAATATTTTTCTCTTGGTCTTTTAAACTCTCAGCCTGTGCCTTTTACTTCGACTATCTTTTGTCTGATGTATGAAGAGTCGTTCTCACTCTCTTTTTAAACACTCTGGGGACTCTGTAGGAATGATCGCTGGTTTCTTTTCCACAGCTCTGACCAAAGATCATGTCATTTACTGAATTTGGAAGTGAGGCCACAAAGACTATTTTAAAGAGAACAGCGAGCTAGTGGGAACACTCAAAGCTTGCAGTTCCTTTTTCCTGAATATTTCTCTTTTCTTTTTAAGTACAAGTTGAGGCCTGCTTGAATCAAAACACAACTCAAATATAAAGCAAACCCCAGTGCACTTCAGAGAACAAGAACCTGAATAGTTTTAAAATAAGAGATTTCAGTTTCCATTTTTACAGTATTTTTAAGTGTTGAGTGAGGAAGAAATATGTTTTCTTAAAATCCAGTCAAATGGCAAAGAGGTGGGAAAAGACTGAACTGAAGGAAGGTAACTTTGAAGTATAGTTGCATTAACTTCCTCTTCAAACCTTCCTGTCTAAATCGCTTGAACTTTGACACTGTTTTTCCTCTCTGTGTATGAAAACGCTCTTTCACTTTATTTAAACTTTAAAAAAAATCTATACAAATGAAATCTGGCTCACCTGTTCTTCCTGACTTTCGATCACTATCAGAGCCGCCTGATACATTTTGCATTGATCACGACTTTGATCCCAACTCCTCCAATAAAACGAATATTGATGTTGGGAAAAAAAGTAACAGCTTGACTGAAACAGCACCCAGCCATCCAGGCAAGGTTTACACACTGTTCAAAAAAAGAAAGGGACAACAAGACCAGAATCATTTTAGAAATCCAACTTTACAATACGTTACAAAGAGTTTTTTAGATTTGAAGATTTTTAAACAGTTTAAAACATTAAACCTTCAAATAAAAACATGTTTGTGGGAGTCGTGACAGGAAGTGAGCAAAAAGTAACATAAAACTATATGAAACTAAGACATGTTCACCTTTCTGTGGGCAGTGTTTTTCCACTGAAAATTCCTGATATTCCATGATGACTCCGATGGTCCAGTTGAGTTGGTCTCTCTGTCTGGTCAGCTCCTCTGTCTGTCGCTCTGAGGATGTTTTCTGTGTCATCAGCTGCAGGTTCTGTGCTGTGATGTTGGCCATTTCTCGCTGCTGCTCACTCATCACTGTGTTAACTGCAGTCAGATAAGAAACAGATGTTAGTGTTATTGTCTGATTACAGTAAAGTCCTTGAATACACAGCAGGTGGACTTACAGCGGAAATTGAGGCCGATGATGACTGACACCAAGATGAGGCAAATAACCACCAGACCTGTCACAACCAATGCAAGCCGACTACAGGGTGGAGCTAACTCTTTATTCTCTACAAGAATAGAAAAAAATGTTTATTTTAATGATTGAATAAAAAATATCATTTATTTGTTCAGAAAACCACAAATAACCTGTTATTACAAGGGATGCATCCAATTTCCTGTCCTCAGTGTTCACCTCGTCGTAGATTGTTTCTGTGTCTTTTGGCGTCACTGGAAAAACAAAAAGAGTTTAAAGGAAATGAACTCATTTGTAGTTTGTTCTTTGTGGGGATTAGTTATTAAACTTTACTTTTTAGATCACCAAAAATAGCAGTGCTAGGAAAGAACTGACATGCTGAGTAGCATAACATCGCCAGAATTAACCAACTGGTATTGATCGTTCCCCAAAACCACATACATCACAGTTTTGGCGATGAAAGGGAAGAAAGTAAGTCTGTCACTCACCGTATGTTGGATCTCTCTTTGTCTGAAATATCACTGTCACATAATTCTCTTCTTCCACCATTATTTATGTGTTTGCTGTTTATTGTCAGCGGTACTTACTTTGTTAATCTCGGAGTCAAACAGCCACTGTGGGTTTACTGGTCAGTGTAAGTGAGAAGTGGACCGTTGCAAGATCTGCACTTCTTCTTTTTGTCAGAAAGCGGGAGGGTTGTGGTTATTAGAGGGACATTTTTCTTTTTTTTAGATAGTTTTGCAAGACGAGAAAAAATATGTCAGAACAAAGCGACGGCTGTCGCAGAGTGGAAGACTCGCGTTTCCAGGATACTAGTGGGGTCATTTTTTTCATTTGAGTTTAACAAACAATTACCTTCAGTGAATGAAGTGTGTGTGTGTGTGTGTGTGTGTGTGTGTGTGTGTGTGTGTGTGTGTGTTTACAAAGGTCAGAACTAAGTAACTGCAGCATGAATGTTATTGTAAAAATGATGAATTTCATCAGTTCACCTCGACACTGTTTGTAGGCAGATGTCAACCAAAGCTAACTTTTAACTTCCAATTCATTTCCAAATTATCAGGCACATCCAGCTCAAACTGATCTAATACAGCAGTGAAATAAATCAGCCACAATAAAGCTTAATGTTTTGGATCAGTTTGTGTTGAAACTTCAAATGTGTGATCAATTTTTAGGCTTCACATTAAAGGTTAAAACTTCCAGACTACATGGCAGACGTTGTACGTACTGAGTACAAGCAATCATCACAGTTCAATCAATGCCACTGAAACATTAAAAACTACAGTGGCTTGCAAAAGTATTCGGCCCCTTTGAACTTTTCCCCATTTTGTCACATTACAGCCACAAACATGAATCAATTTTATTGGAATTCCACGTGAAAGACCAACACAAAGTGGTGTACACGTGAGAAGTGGAACGAGAATCAGACATGATTCCAAACATTTTTTACAAATAAATAACTGCAAATACATGTAGA